CCCCAAAACCCCAAAACCCCAAAACCCCAATAAATGCAAAAGGTATTGAAACTAATAATATCTAGAATTTATGCTAAACAGGGCCGAGAGAGAAATTGGGTTTGTTAAGGAACAGGCTGAGGGAAGGGAGGTTGAGCAAGAGTTTGGGTATTATGATAGTGTGTTTGCAGCAGGGATTACAGGGGAGATGGTAAGAGGGGGTTGGGTAACTAGGTTTGTTGCGATTTTTTTAGATTAAGTCTTGGGAGGTGTATTGGAAATCTTAACTAATTTCTATAGAGATCAAAGGAAATAATGCAAGATTGGAGCTCTTTTGGGATTATTGATCCTTATCTGGCACAAAAAACTTTGAAAGAAGCAGTTCAGGATTCTAATATTTCCATTTATCATTCCAGAAAAAGTTCAGAAAACGTACCCAAAAAGGCTGTTTTGAGCAAATCTCTGAGGCAAATTAACGACAATATTTCGAATGAAATAAATAAAGAATCAGCAGATCTTACTACGTCCTCTTCTCAACAACGATCTTTTACAAAAGTTCATTATAAAATCTTCAAAATTGAGAAGTACTCTAAGAGATTCACAACAGCAAAGCAATCGAAAGCCAATTTCAGAGGAGATGCTGAAATGAAGAAAGCTCTCAGATTTATCAAAATGTCACTAAAGAAATTATTTAAATCAATGAATGAAAAGGTAATACAAAAGAGATATGTCAACTGAAGCTCTCGTGAGATCTTCCAAACTATGAAGCTGACTCTCCAAAGTGTTATCCCTAAAGAATTTCTTGAAGATGACTTAGTTTATTATACTGTTGGTATACTAAATATTAAGAAGGCGTCTCAACTTGGCTGTAAGCAAAAGGTTAAAAGAGAAATTTCAGACTTCATTCAAACTAGCAATAATTTCACTTACAAAAGACTCAAGAGAGCCATGCAGTCTTTTAATCTTAGAGCTCTGTGTAGATACATGATCTCACAAGCAAATGAGCTCATAGCAGAGACATTGCAAAAAGCACTGGATTTTGAATAAATGCTTCATATTAAATTGCACTTTGTGTTCTTAAGAAGAGTTTACGATAAAAGAGAGTTAAGAAGACTTAAAGGAGCAAAAATATTTGTAACGAGGATTTTCTTAATAAAAATTCACAACTCAAATTTTCCATCCTTATTTCGGCTGTTTTATATTTGAATGCTAAGCACATTATATGAAATTTTCAGAATTTTCAATGACGATTATATACTCTTGATTTCTCATTAGAACAAATCTGTTAAACATTATAGAGTGCAAATTTTAATATCTTTGGGTGATAGAGCCTATTTCTCTGATAGTCAGCCGTTTCAGTGCTATTTTAAGCCTAATTATGCTAAAGATGCAGTTTAGAGAACTTAAAATTTATGGAGTTTATAAACTAGTTCCAAATTTATGTCATATGGCTTATCGTAAATTTTTGATGGCGATTTTGCCAACTAATAGAAGCAATAATAACTCTCTGTATATAATCTTCCTTCAAGAGAAAATACTAAAATTTTAGTACAAAATTTACTGTAACAGTCTCCTTCTTGGATTGTTATTTATAAGTAATAACCATAATAGTAAAAAGTTGTATATTTCTCTAAGCCTAGGAAGTATTACCGCGGTCATCTTAATAATTGTGAATGAAAATGCTTACTGATAATTCTTAAAATTTCGCCTAAGTGTTAAAATTTGTCGTCTTCACATATCTATTTTTGGGAGAACCTCTTTTAAAATTTGGCTGCATTTGGAACTTTGTGGTCACATTTCTTTTATCTCTTGCTGTCAATAAACTGAAATTGCAATGCTCCATTGCAATATAGAGTGTTTTAACTAATTTGCAATTAATCTAAGAGGCTAACCTAGTCCATTTTATGTATGAATTTCTGACAATCCAAGTCTAAAACACTTCCCCAACCCTACTTTTGTAAACTATTAAGGATCTGGTATGCTTAATTTGTTAAAATATTAAGTATCTGAGGCTCTCATCCTTTGCAATCCCCTCTTTGGAGAAGCGTCGAAAGGACTTGGTAAACTAACTTTAATCTCTGATCCGAAGATTTAGTTCCTTCATTGTTTACTCCATAGAGCATTTATACCTTAGCATTAGGATGATTACTCATACTAATTTTGTGACGAAATTAAGTTTTATAGTCAAACATTTTTCCTTCAAAAATATCATGCTATTTTTACGTCATAAACCATATTGGGAATAAGCCTTGGAAGCATTATTAACCCTTTGAAAATTAATAATGGTAGGCTAAGAATTTACCTCCACTGCTTAATTTCGTGGAAGAAATGTAGTTGTAGTGCAGTTGAGCTCTTTATATATAATTTTGCTCTTGAAACTCCTTCTGGCATCTTCATCAAAATTTACAGTTTTTTTACGAATTTAAAACAAATGGTAAAACTGAAAATCTTTTAGGAGACAAATTTTTAGTATCTGAAACAAGCTACTATACTTCTCAAATTCATATATAATAAACTTTGTGCTTATATAAGCTTATTTATATCTCTCAAGAAATTCTGAGAGTGCCTTTAAGATTTCTCTTCACCAGAAAATTCAAGCATTAATGTCAGAATTTCATACCTACTCTGATGAGAATGGTAGGTCAGCAAAACATCTTGCTTAAATAGCATTGATTAACATTATAGAAGTTAGTATATAATAGGCTTTAGCTGTAAAGCCTCCCAAAGTTACAGCACTTGTTGGCAAAGGACCCCATTCTCCGGTTATTAGTTTCTCTTACATCTCTTTGGTCTAGTATTAATAAGTATTCAATAACGAAACTAAGCGGAATGTTATTTAATGAAAAGTTGTAGCTCAGTACATCAGGGCAGGGAAAGTTTATTACTGTTTCTTATCTCCTCGATCAGGATCATAGAGGTAAGTTAGCAATTTTATCAGAAATAATCAAGTCTCATTGCTCTCTCTTTTATACCTTGCTGGATCCATGATCCAAGTCTATAATTTGGCAGGATATCCTAGCGTAAATTTAAAAATATGAGGGAAATGGTTTTTAGTGAAATTGAAGTGATAAATCAAGTGCTTTCTATATCTTACGCTACAGTAAATCATTAAGAGATGAAAACAAGAAGAGAGTTGTCTAAAGATAGTACAAGTATTAAGAAAGCACGGAATACCACCTCAGACATTTGATTTTGGGTTTTTAATACTTCATCGCAATGTTATTGGAGATCTCAAAAGTATTATTAACACTTAGCTAAGAGACCCTCTTCAGCTCCTAAAATTAGTAATAATAATTTCAGGGTAAGAAAGAAATTAGTAGCCTATATAAAAAGCTAATAATTTTGAGGTTTTGATAAAATCTAAACTCTACTAAGGTTTACAAAATTCTTAGACGATGCAAGATTTGAAAATTTTATCAGATCTTCTTTTTCAAAAATAAATTAAAATACCAGTTTACAAAATTTTTATGACAGTTTCGTTCGAAATAAAAGTACAACTCCTGCACTATTCTTAAAATTACCAAATCTCATGTAAAAATTCTCTAAAACCCATCAAAGCAAACAGCCGAGCAAATACCTCCCTCTCAGTCCTAAACCCCTCATAAAACCCATATACCCCCTCCTTCCCACAACAACTCCCCTTAACCCCACTCCTTACTCCAATTTTCCTCTAGACCCAATCCTACCTCACTTAGATTTCTATTAAGGTACTTGAGAGGGGCTGTGGCTTAAGATTTTGGGAAAAATGAGCAGACATTTTTGAAATATTCAATAGTAGGGTGGAGCTGGGGTTTTGGGGTTTTGGGGTTTTGGGGTTTTGGGG